AGGCGTTTTTTTTTTTTTTTTTTTTTACCCTCTAAAAAAGAATTGTGCTTTGTTTGTTAATATACCAGGCGTTTTTTTTTTTTTTTTTTTTTACCCTCTAAAAAAGAATTGTGCTTTGTTTGTTAATATACCTTTTTTTTTTTTTTTTTTTTTTTTTTACGTTTCAGCTGTATGATCTATGATTTTATTGTTGATGTAGGAGACTTGTGTGGCGTTTCTGTGGAGGAGAATCCAGAAACACAGAGGGAGAAAACGGCTCGGTTGGAGTCTCTCCTCCTGGATGACCTGAGTGCTCTCAGACACAGACAGGTCATCCATCCAGTGCTGCAAGAGGGTGAGTTCATCTAAATGCCTAAACAAGCTAAAGTAAGTCCATGTGAATTTATTCACCGGTTGAATCTCTTAATCTGCATCCAGTGGGCTTGAAGTTGAGTTCCTTAGACCCAACCAAGGCTGTCGACTTGAAGTATCTGGGTGTTTGTCTGCCACCGCCTCCTTCAACTCTGACACGCCAAACCAGCACACCAACTTCATCGCCTGCTGGTAAGTTAGACAGATTCTGGTTTATTTTTATTTAAGCTAAAGCTCCAAATTTAATTAGTCATTTGAAATGTAAGAATGTCCAGTCGCTGCTTAAGTGAAAGAAAACCTACATTATCTCCAGATCTGCTAACATTATAACAACTTGACTACAGTTTGAAATTTTTAAGTTTTGTCTCTATATTCTATGGACTCCTTAAATTGTCTCCGAAAGTGGAACATTTTCCTTCCTTACCCTGAATCTTAGAGTTTTTCCAGATAAGAAGGAGAACTTCATCTGTCTTTATTTAATCCATAAAACAAAACTCGACAGCTTTGGCAGGTGTTGGTAGTAGACTGACTATGACGGATAGCCGTGCTCAAGGCTGAATGGATTTATGAATGGAGATTTGACCATCGATTCACAAATAGGAATTATAGTTACTTTACTGAAGGTAGCAGATTTTTTGTCCACACAGGATGTAACCTGAAATGTGTGGGTGAATAACAGTTTGCCCTTTTAAATTTGTGGCTCCTTAAAGAAGAAACTGACCTTAAATGTCAGCCTATATTTGGATATCATGTAAATTACAGCCAAAGCAAATGTCAGATTCTCCAAAGACCAATGCTGTTTTTATCACAGTGATTACCTGAAATAAACTTTGTCCACTAGAAGCTGATGAGGTCCATGTGAAAAATAATCTGGCAGGGATTGAAAATAACAAGATTGCAGATGATGTGAACTAGTTTTGTCCTAGGTTTCTTTACTTTTTTGTTTTCTGTAGCGATAACGATATAGCTAAGCTACCAGAACGCCATTAAGTTCAGCTATTCGGTGCTGTGTCATGCAACACTCAAAATCAGTGAATTATGGTCAAGAAAGCACAAACGTATAAATCTATATGTATATTTTTTTTTCCTTTTTTGATCTCAAGTGCAGCCTTTATTCGCTGGTACTCGATGCAATCTGCTTTGTGCGTCCAGTGCAGAAACTGGGCTGATAATCTCTGCACAACACGGGCATAAAAAGAAACTGTAAAGAATGAAAATGAAACGCTGAGAACACTTGGCGGTTAAATTTATGCCTTGCCGAAAACTGTACAGATGTTACAGACAAAAATCTCTCTATAAGCTGTGTGTCCTCTCTAGTTCTTGCAGGAGACACAGATAACATAAAAATACCTTTTTCCTGAAAGCTTTTATTTTCACCCTGACTGTCAGTTTTGTGCTTTTTCGAATTGGTTTCCACAGCCTGGCAGTTGTAGGTAGATTACATCTGACGCGGTGGGGGTTTGCTACTGTCTGTGGACACACATCTCGGCCCAAAAAGAAGGGGCCAGTATTCAGCTAAAACTATAAAATAAGACAGATATTGAATTAATATTGTTTCATTGTGATTCTAGTGGCTCTCTGGAAATGCGTACCTAGAATTGATTTCAAATTAGCTGCACTGATGCTCTGGGTGTGTGTGCGTGTGAGAGAGACGAGAGATCCAGTTGAAGGCGAAGAAGAAAAGATTTGTTTTTCAGTCGCAGAGCTACAACTTGGGTAGTCATTCCAAATCTTACAGAAAAGTGTAACAGCAAGAAATTTTAAATGCATTCTGCTGACACAGACTTCTGTGTTTTCACACCTTTGTAGAGAGAAGGGAGGAAATGGGGCTCAGGTCGGGGCTACGTGCTGCGATGTAAAGACAGAAATAAGATGGACTGTTTCATTTACTCTCAAACTGAACTACAACTTCTCCCATCTCAGAGGAAATTTGTAATAATCCGTAGATCTGTAATAATTAAAGCCTGCAAGGTCTGTCTCAAAGGAGCAGTACCTCCACACACACACACACACACACACACACACACCTGCAGCAGCAGCAGCAGCATCAGCATGTCGGCTACTTCCGAACCCTTGATCGTCTAATAATGTCCGTTCCTGGGTGGTTGGGGTGGTTTTAATTTGTACCTCGGTATGTAAATGCTGTAAAAATAATCGCCAGTTTAAGTCAAGTTTATTTGTGTGGCACGTTTTAGCTAATGGGTAGTTCAAAGTGCTCGACATCATAAAAACATAATACGGTAACCAATTATGAAACGAGCAATAGACATTATATTTTCTAAAATGCCACCATCAAGCAAACGTAAATAAAATATGTCAGCCAATGTTCCAGCTAGTGGAAATCAAAGGGACTCTAAACAGATGAGTGTTTAGCTTTGACTTAAAGCTAAACCCTGCTTTTCTTCTACTGAAAAGTCTTCCTCACATTAAACGTCTCATTTTATTCATGTAAAGTGAAGCGCTGCAGCTCTTAAGCCAGTCGTTTGTAGATTTACTGGCGTGTTTTGGTCCACCTGTGCGTCAGATTTTGTTTATGCTACGAATGCTCAAACATGGACAGGAGAGTTCATGGTGGGTCCTGAGCTGACCTGGTCCTGCTGCAGCAAAGCATCCCCAAACCATGACACTTCCACTGCCATGCTTCACAGTCGGTGTGATGCTGTCTTTTTTTTTTTTTTTTTCCAGAGTTTGTTTATTTTTATTTTATTTTTTTCCCAGAAGCCCTTGTCTTCTGGCAAAGATTCCAACATTATTGCATCACATGCAAAGACTTGCTGATGATATTTTGGTGTTTGAGACTTTTTTTCAGCATTGTGCCTTTTCCTCTATGGTGAACTTCATCGTACAGCCTAACTGGGTCATGTTGGCAGTACTGCTAAATGTCTCTTAGTTATTTACCATTTTCCATGTAGTGGAACGTCTGATTTTCAGCTCTTTTGAGTTCTCTGTTACTCTTTTCCCAGGCTGATAACCTGCTACAATCTTCTACCTGAAGGTCCCAAGTGACTTTTTGGGTTTGACCACAGTGTTCACTCTCACTTCAACAGTCAGGAGCACAAACCAAGCAAACTGTCCGACACTTAAACTCATAAAAAATGGGGAGTGGCATTTGGTCTTGACGAGTTAAACCCATATGTTGTTTAAACCACAAAATTCTAACCACAAATGTCAGATTTTAGTACCTTTTGGAGGGGGACTCCCCCCCCCCCCAAAAAAAAAAAAAAAAAAACATCTCCAGTTTTTATTCTTTTTTAATATAGCTGTGTTTCAGACTACTGCTAACGCTGTCTAATTACGTTATAGAATCTCAGATTTCACAGCTTTTTTTTTATTTTCTCCACATAATTTTGTATGAAACGGGGAGAAAGCCAGCTTAATGCATCACTGTTTCCTGCTGATTCAGTAACCTCCATCCTGTTGTCACCCCCTCAACCAATTAACAGCACACTTAATCTCCTAATTAGTTTTACCATAAAAATCAGCTTTACAACATGTTCAGGGTGTCTTTAGCAACTGACGCCACTGGTTTAAGGAGATTAATGGAGCCACTTATGTTTTTTTGTTTTTTTTTAACGTCGTGTCTGAAGGACCAAAGATTGCTCGGAGTTGTAACTCTGCGTTTTGTCTTGCGCAGATGAGGAATTGCCCTTTATCTCTAGAACAGGAAAAACAAAGGATGTGACAAAAATAAAAGGATGGAGAAACAAGTTCGCAAGAAGCCAAGAAACATCTGCTGCTAACAGCGAAGGTAAGGCTCGTTTCTCTTGCAGCTTCGGGGGTTTCTTTTATCAAGCAGCGGGATTAGCATAGTCAGTCTAATTACCAAAAGATTAACTGAACTGAAACCAGCAGCTTAATGCGTTTGTGTCTGATTCATTATTCTTCCTAAATAAATTAAAGTGTTGTTGTTTTTTTACTCCCTTCCTGAAGGATTACCAAAGAACATGTCTGCTTTCTGCAGCAACATGTTGGACGAGTACTTGGAGAACGAAGCTCAGCAAATCAGCGAACGCGCTGCTGCGTTCTCCACCAACCCAGAGGACGCTGTGGCCTACCAGCTGCCCGCCAGGGGCTCCAGCTACGTCAAGACCCTGGACAGCGCGCTCAGGCATCGGAACGCCGCCTCCAGGGTCTCAGGCGGGACCAGGAGGCCGTGCCCTCTCTCTCGTAAAGCCTTGGCTCAGACGTCTCCGACCACTTCTAAAGCCCCGGGTCGTGCCTCGGATCCAGACGCTGCTGCTGCTGCTGGGGCCGGTTATGCTGACGACTACTCACAAAGGTAGGAAGGAGGCATTTGTCTCCGCCTGATGCTCAATATTTTGGCACATTTTTTCTGCTTAGTGTGTCTTGAGAGAGTAACTCAATTGGTTGTGGTGAGATTTCTCTACTGTCTTGCTTGTTTCTAAATCCTATGAGGGATAATTTATGTCTATGAACTCACAGGTTTGTTTAGTACTTACCATTTAAAAAAAACATACAGGGTAAAGAAAAGGACAGTTTATATTTCTGTTTGCTTTAATAATCAACCTGCTGCAGCAACGAAGCTCTCTACCATATTTCCATTGTAGTTCAAATCATTTAAATATGTTGGTTTCTGAAATAATCAAAATCAGAAATTGACGTTAAATTTAGACTGAAAAGAATCCTGTTTTTTTTTTTTTACATCTCGATTCCTTTTCTGTTATTCAAGTCGTTAATTGGTACATTTAGTATTAATTTTTTAATAATACTAAGGCTGTAAAAAGTTGTGGGTTCAAAACTTAAAATTTCATACAAACATATGTTTGCGATTCGAAGCTCATTTCATGAGCTGCTGGTGAACGGCTCAGAGGAAGTCTTGGCTAACGTAACTCTTAGCTGCACACTGCCAGTCAGCTGGCTAATGACTACTTTGACTTTTTCTCTCTAACAAAAAGACACATTTCTAATTTCAGCTTCTACCTTTTCACTTCTTAACTTAACAGATTCCAGTGTTTTGTTGGAGCTTACTTTAGCAAGCTTGGTTTATATTTTTCCAGCAATTGGCGTTTAAATTTTTTTTTCTTCACTTCAAATGTTTATTTTACATCAAACTTTGTTCTTGCTGTACCAGTGGAACACGTTAGAAAGTGAAAAGCTGTAACTTGTTGTGTCTCTCTCTCTGCCTCAGGCTGCCGTCCAGCCAGTCGGCAGCCAATCAGAGAGCTGCGACGGGGTTCGGCCAGAGCCAGGGTCCAACCCACAGAGCTGCAGGCTTCACAAAGATCCAGCTCAGGCTGCTGCAGATGGAAGACGCAGCGTTTAACCAGGGCCTGGGCAGAACACATCTGACTCCAGAAAGACTCTCGACTGCTCTGTCTGTTATCATGAGCAAAGAGGTAACAAAGACCGGGCAGAAAGATGTTTGACCTCTGGGATAGAAGAGCCTCTTCTTACCGTCTCTTTCTCTCCTTCAAAGAGGGGATTGCCCAGTGAGCTCCCGTTTCGAGACGACTCTGTAGGACCAAAGTGTGGTCAGGACTTCTGCAGGCTGGGCTGTGTGTGTCCCAGTGTGAAGCAGCTGAACACACACCCCGACCACTGCAGACAGCCTGAGTGCATGTTTACCTGCAGCTGCCTCAGACGTAAGATCCTCCAGATGTTAAATCAAACCCGCTCTGATTACTGCAGGGTTTTTATTTATTTATTGTTCTGACCGTCAGAGTAATGGACGGCGTGGATACTCCTTAAACATTTTCAGATTGTGTCACAATCACAAACTTTAACATGTTTCAATGTTAGTGGGATGTACAAACACAAACTGGTGCAAAATTGGGAAGTGGAAGAAGGCTGCATTGTTTTTATAATTTCAGACGTAGCTCAGGTGTCATGTATAAACAGAATGCCAGACTAGGAGTAGCTTCTGTGAAGCGTAAAAAAAAACAAAACATAAAGTTAAAAGCTGAAATAATGGTAAACACTTGGCGTTTTTCTCTGCTAGCGCTACATCTCTAGTGATCAAAATATTTTCCCTTCCTCGGAAAACAATCAGATGGGATAGAAAGTGTCTAAGCATGACTTTCAGAGCTGTGCCACAGATTTTTTTATTAGCATTCAGCTCTGGACTTTGACTAGGGCATTCTAACTCTAGAAAATTCTCCCAGCTGAACCTTTCCTTTGTTGTTCCGCCTGCCTGCTCTGTTCCTTTCATGAGGATTTTTGTTCACTCTTGTTCTCTTAACAAACCTCTGAACGTCTGGGTTTATACTAAGAATAAATCACACACAGATTGATCAGTTTTCAATATTTTAGGTTCTAAAAAAATCTTTATTTTAGATCAAGTTGTATAAAATCTTCAGCAAAACAGTTTCTAAAGTAAATGCTTTTATTTAAAATGTCACATTTTCCCCTCCTTCAGATATTTGCAACCTGCATTTGATTCTCTTCCTGCTCATAATCCAAATTTAGTAGAAGTTCATTTAATTCTTTTTTCTTTTGTGCCTTGTCATCCAGCTCTGATGGACACAGAACAACCGACCCAGAATCGCTGTGGCTCCTCTGCTGCCAAACTGTGGAACCGCAACATTCATGACGAGGATCTAGAGCCGCTTTACACTCCCAAAGTGGCTTCGCCTCCCGCCCCAGTGAAGTCCAGCAAAACCTGGACATTTTGCCCGGCACCTCCGGTAAAATAATGTTTGTTTGTTTTTCTTCTCTTGAAGCCGATTGAGTTCCACCAATTATTCTTCATGTATTTAGTAGTAATAAAAAAAAGTTAATTAAAATAATTATGAATTCAGATGCGTGAAGAGGACAAGGATCCCGTTTATAAGTATCTGGAGAGCAAGTTGACGTGCGCACGCGTCAGGGCATACAACAGCCTGCCGCCTCCGGTCGTAACCCTGAGCACCGCGCTTTTCGATCAACGGGACAAACCGGCGCAGAACGTCGACAAGCCCGTCCTGAATCAGGAGAACGCTGCTGACCTGACCCATCAAAAGCCAGGTAAGGAAGTTAAATTAATACTTGGACACTTAAAGATTGCTATGTGACTTAGTATTTCACCACCCACTGTTATATTTGAGATATTAAACGTACAAGTCGGTGCATATTTCTGTGTTTATGCAGCAGATGTGGATACAAGGCCTGTTGCAGCGAAAGTGAAGCAGCAGATCCAGATCCAGTCCATGTGTCTGTGGAAGAATGACCGCAAAATGGTGCTGGAGGGTTTGTGCGACCGCATGAACCAGAACCGGCTCCACCAGCGTTTCTACATCGGGCCCTACCGCGTCAGCCCTTTGACCAGAGTCACTTTGAGGAAACCCAGCGGCACCATCATCACCTACAGGGTGGGTTTGTGTTGTCGCGTTCCGTCAAATGGAAAAGCAAGCCGAGCGTCTTGCTGTTGTTTCTATGGATGTTTTATTGGCTAAAGGCTAAAAAGATCTTCTTTTTTTTTTAATCCGAATGCTTTTAGATGAAGATCAGTAAACCAGAAAAAGTGAGCGACTGTGAGGATGAAAGCGAGGAGGAAGAGAAGTGTGATGGAGATGCTGAGGAAGAGGTAGCAAAGGACCGTGGGAATCAGTGTGGGGAGACCCGGGCTGGGAGGCTGAGGGCCCGGAGAAAACAGCCGGGCCACCAAACGTCCGGACTCATCCAGGTACGCCTACAACGAACGCTGTGTTTTGATTTATGTCCCATCATCCTCTTTTCACATAAAGATGCCTCTTGAACCTTGTTTAGTCAAGCTCTGAGATAAATGTCAATGTTGAGTCAGAATAAGATCTCAGCCATCTTATAATAAAACATGGACATTTCCAATTCATATCCTGTTTTATTTTTAGAAGAAAAAAAAGCAGTTTATAATGTGTGAAACATTTGTGTTATTTTCACAGGAGTGACATGTATTTTTTTTGTTTATTTAGAATTTTTCAGCATATAATAATCTAAATATTCACCTTATCAGACCCTTTATCTAAAAGGTAACAGAGACTGTAAAATACAGCTGGAAAAAGAGGAGGAATAATTGTTTCTTTTTAGAGTTTTACAGAACTAAATTTATGTATATTTATAAAGGTGCGTACATTTCCTTGGATTTAAATGATTTATTAGGATTTTGTCATGATGCTTTAAAACGCATCCGCCCATGTTCCTCCATTTAACCTTTAGCTGTAATAAAAGTCTTATTTTATAAGAAATTGTAAAACAAAAATCTCTCATATTAATCTGGCATTTATGAAAGAAATTATTTTGGTGATCCTGACTGCTCCAAATATGAGTAATGGTTAGTCTGCCAGTGACTTTTATTGGTGGATGTAATGACATGGTTTAAACTGAACCATCTGTATGTAGCAGGTAATGAGTTTGGTAGGTTATTTATGGATTATTATCAGTTTCTGCATAGTTAGTTGTGTTAACAGCTTAATAAATTTATGCCATGGGTTATAGCAACCATCCCTGATGGATAAATTATTTAAATATGTGTATCTGTTTTGTTTTGTTTTCAGGTAAATGATAAGTACTACAATCGGGCCATGCTGTCGCTCGGCAGCATCGGGTCTCTGCATCCAGCCAATCGTCTTGCAGCCCATGTCACGGGTCGACTGTGGACCGATAAAATCTCTCAGGTGAAACAATCAGAGGACTTCAGCTCCACACCAGAATCCCTTCATGTAAAAGCCACAAAGATATTTGTTCCTCCGGTTGTGGATGAGAAGACGACACAGCAGACCAAAGGTGAGATCGGTCCCAACAAAAGCACTTTACTGTGATGAGTACAGGAAGTCAGCAGTTCAGAAAGCATCAGGCTGCTGTCAAGTTTTTTTTTTTTTTTTCTTGCGTCTTGTGAGTCTGGAGTGTCCAACTCATTTTCATGTTGGACCACATATCAACATTATGAACGTTCCCATGGGCCACTGCTGCCAGACTGTAGCGATGAAGCTCATTAACAAACTGTTTAAAATATTAACAAATAACGGTCTCCGCATTCGATGAGTACTTCTTAAATAAAAATATTGAGCATCTTGTCAAATGTTTTTTGGGGGGTTTTGCTATCAGAATTATGGATTTTGTTCTGATTAAGAAATATTTTCAATTTTGCAGTATTTTAATGACCTTTAATGCGACTGTTTGATGCTCGCCATATTGATCGTGGACTAACTTGAAATAAAAGGCAAAGGCAGCAGTGTCAAATGTAAAAAGTGCTGCCACCAACAGGTGGAAGTTAGTAGTCACTTAAACCCACTATTTTTGACAATTTTTGTAGAAAATGTGCAATAAAATTACAATTATGCATGAGCTCAAAAAACTCTAGGTAACTGTTTATTTTTACGTGAATACCTCAAAAAAATAGTGAAAAACTGTAGAGACTAATTGGTGTAATTTGCCATTCCGAGTCTAGAGGCAACATAAAAAGCTATGGCAGGTTTTGAGTTTGACACCTGTGTTGTAAATTATCTTGTGGTTATTTCCCTAACTGCTGCTCCATGTTCTTTGCTTCCTCAGCCGATTTACACAAACAGAGTAATGGCTCCACGGCGCAGGGTTCTCAGACGTCCCAGCCTGTCCAGTCGTTTGGCCCAATCCAGCAGAACATCCACAGCAGCTCCACATCCTCGCCCGTCTCCCTCACCGTCTCCCCCTCGCTGAAAAGCCCCAGCTTCCTGGCTAAGAGCGGGACGTACTCCTTCAGAATCTGCCCTCCGTCCACCCATGCCAGCGGAGGCCAGAGCTCCGCGGGCGTGGCCCTGCCAGGGGGCTTCACCCTCATCCAGCTTCTGAAACCCAGAGCTGACAAGGCCGGAGGGCAAGCGAAGCCCCCCGACGTCACCAGGAGAGCTCCAGCTGAGGACAAAGTTTCTAGCCTGAGCCATTTGGCCAAGGAGTGGGTCGGTTTTGACACCTTCAACAAAGTCAGGACCTTACTGAGCAGCAACGTGCCAGAGCCTGATTCCTCCTTTGAGAGGAAGATGTCGTCAGGTGGGAATGATGAAGAGGACGACCTGAAGAATCAGCAGGGATCATTCCATACCTTGTCCTCAGAAGAAATGAGCTCCGACTTCTCAGACTCTGATGAATGCCAAGAAGTCGTAAGCCCTTTTGTTCCTCGCAGTAAATGTTTAATGTTTGGTATTGTCGATGGAACAGCTCTGAAATCTGTTTCTTCAGGAGGAGATGGTGGACATTGAAACTGTCGAAGGGAAACAAGGAGAGGTCATTTCTAAAATGAGGAAAGATGCTTCTGCGATATCACAACAAGCAATGTAATGGGTTTGGACGTTTTCTCATTGAAGTTTCAAATACTGATAAAAGTCTAATCGGGCTGATCTGTGTTTGTCTTCAGGGATTCTGCAGATGAATGTCGAGAAGGAAAGGATCTCAACGAACTGGTAATGATTATATACTGCTAACTAACCCTTATCTATCCTATCAGATAGCAAATATTCACAAATACTTAGGTTTCCTCTGAAAGTAAAGCATATCCATTGTCTTACGTGCATTTATTATCTCCTTTGTATCAGATTTTAAAGTATAACACTGATTCTGAAAACCAAAGGCCGAGGACGCGCAAGAACCACTCGGCGCTGGAGAAGCTGAGGCGCTGTGAACAGCGAGTTCTGTTCGACAGACTGCAGAGTCTCCTCAAGCTGGAGTCCAGATCTTCCAGGCATCAGGTTCTTAATCTGGTCAGTAGTCATTCAGCAGTCCAGGTGGAAACCTGAGTTTTGCCGGCGTTTGTTTTAAAATGATGCCTTCAGTGGCCAGTAGTTGGAGGTTTGATTCATTCATGCATGTTTAAGAATCCTTGAATCTCCAGTGGCAACCATTTGAGAGTACTTTACCATTTCAGTCTCGAAATTGCCTTGAAATTGGGCCTCTGTCTCTTTAAGAAGCTCCTGCTCTTTCCCACATGTCGTTTTCAACACATCATGACAATGCTTCTCATTGGGTCATTAATAACCATTCTTACGAGTGTTGGACTGAGAAATAGTTTGTTTGATGAGCTCAGCAGACTCTCAGTTCTGCCGGATGTTTGCTAATTGCTGATGCCGCTAGTCTGGAGGAGCGGAAATGGGGAAACTGTGGGGTGGAAACTCAGCTGGACACTGCTGCTCTGAGGTGGAGCTTTGTGAGAGCAAGCGTTTATGCACCCCTGAATGGTTGCCATGGGAGATTCAAGGATTTCTCAAACATAGATGAAAGAATCAGGTATGTTTTTGATGAGGGAATAACATTATAACACAATATAGAGCTCAAAAAAGACAATTTTACATAATGTTTTTCATTTTAAAGACAATGTCAAGACGTCAATTCAAAATGTCAAATTTCTTTTAAGGCATATTTGATATATAACAACTGAAGGCAACATAATTACTGGATTGTGCCTTAAAATAACACTATATGCATAGAAAATACATAACACCCCCCATTTAAAGCCCACCCTATGGAATATGTAATGCATTTAAAAAATTAATTTACTATTACAAGGATTTTTGCTTGCGACACGTACTCTTGGAAAGATCGTCAATATCTGAATATCTTCCTCCTTCGTTTTCTTTTTGCTGTTTCTAGGCTGTAAAAGAAATTGAAAATCTGGGCAAGACATCCAGATATTTTCAAGCGGAGAGAACGAGGCTGCTTCAAGCTCAGTCTGTCTATTTGAAGAAGCTGTCTGTGCTGGCCGGTAAATACACCGTGTTTGATGATTTGAGTACATGTGCAAGTATTAGTCGGTTCATCAGTAACTAACTTTCTGTTGTTCAGGGAAGCCCGAAAGCCTGATTGAGAGCAAGCTAAAGGAGATCTTTGAGCGGCAGAAGCAGCGCGAGAAGAACATGAAATGGAAGCCTTTCTTTTCCCAACTTCTGCAGAGCAAGGCTGCTCTTCTTCAAGCCACCGCCCCTTCTTCTGCCCCCCAGCCCTCGTCACCGCCGAAGCCCGACCCGAGCCCCCCGGGTCAAGCCCATCTGTCTGAGGCTGCAAAAAGAAATCTACAAAAGCTGATGTCTCTGTACCATCCTTCAAAAAAGTCGGAGAAGGCTCCAGAGCAGTCCGTCAATAACATATTCAAGCAAGACGTTCCAACTAAAGTGTCCATCATCGTGCCACGGCAGTTTGTCAAAGCGGCGCCGAAGACGGAGGCTCAGCAGAAAGAACCCGGAGCTTCGGATCAACCGGCTTCTAAGTCCGAGGAGAACCAGAAAGCGTCTGAAAATCCAGATCAGAACTCCGTACCCACTTCTGTAGCAAACGACCCACAGCTCCAGGACAAAATGGCCGTTGAAGGAGCGTCCACCAAGCCTGAAACGTCAGGAGCTAAAAGAACAACCATAGTCGTCCCTTCAGGGCCGCTTGCTCTTCCTCTGATTCGCTCCAAAACCGGCAGACTCATACTTCCCTCCTCCCTGAAACCACGTAAGCTAACAATAACATTTTATACTTGTACTCTAATAATATGTCTGCCTCTCTTTTAATTGCAATATTCCTAAAGTTATTTTATTTCAGTCTTTCAACAAAGTGAAACTCTTCATCCATAAACACAAAGAAATATATCCTGTTTGTTTATTTATGTTTGTTTTGATGACTGTTGCTTTTGCTGCTAATAAAATAACAAAATTCAGTTGAAGGTTGCTATGAAAGCAATCTGGGTTTAGTTAACACCACAGCAGGGCTGCAAATAATCTCCTCAGATCTGATGCAGCAATTCAAACAAAAGCTGACTGCTGTTGAACTGATTTGGTTAGCCTGTGTGACCTGTAGCATCAGGCTATATTTACATCAGACGTCTGTCTGGAAGCTGACGTTTGGGAAAAAGTTTTACGTTTAGACGGAGAGGACAGACACCTTGAATCCGTTGTAGTTGTCATGCCAGGCCACTGAATGGCGCTGTGGCTTTAGCATGTTGTCAAAAAGCTCATGTGCCGTTGACAATTAGCTTCCGCTTAATTAAAAAAAAAAACCCAGAATAATCATTTGATATGCTGGATAAGGCCAACATATCAAATGCTAATGCTAGCCTATTCATGCTAATGACCAGCAGAGTAAGAATGCAACCCAGTGGGTGACCAACGTAGACTTGTTGGTCACTAGCCTCTCCAAAGCTAACACAAGTGAGTAGTCTCCTTCTCATTTGCCAACGCAATGTGCTCAGTTACCACTGCTTGCCTATCATTAATCAGATCATCATGCCATAGATTGGACAATTGGATCCCATAATTAGTGTAACTTACTTCAGTAAACACACAATGGAATAGGTGTACTTCTATACAGTTATTGTGAACTATTCAGATTTTCTGATGAGACTGAATTTTGGGATTCTATTAGCAGCAAGTTAGAATTCAAAAAAGCTGATTTGAACTATAGATGGCAATCTTATTTATTAAAATGTACTTGTTCCATCATTTTCATAAATCGTATTGCATCTTCTCCCAGTTGGTCAAGGTTACTACACCGTGATGTTCATGGATTCCAAGATGAAGGGGGAGGGAGACGAGGCCGGCTCTTCAGCCAATACAGAGCAGTCTCTGGCTGATCCTTCCAAGAGTTTCGAGAAAGCCTCCCCTGATGCTGACCAGCCGTCAGATTCTGATCCAAAGAGTTCAGGCTCAGTGAGCCCCCTCGCTGATCTGACCTTCCTCAACAAAGCGATTGCTTTACCGCCACTCGACCTACAAGTCAGTGAGGCGAACCAAGGAAAGCCCGTTCCAATCTTGGTTAGAACCTCATCGGGTCACATATGTTTGAAGCCGGTAGGTCAGATCCGTCGTCCTCCTCCTGCCAACCCCGAGCAAGATTCCAACCACGACAAAAGCCGGCCATCGAAGAGCCAGGTGTCCCGTCTGACTACAGACGCTACCGAAACCAGGTTGGCACAGACCAAGAGGAGTGACGCTTTTATTAACAGGCTAGCTGAACTGAAGCAAGGAGACGTTACTGTGGAGGACATGAAGGTCAAACGAGGCAGAGGAAGGCCTCCGGGAAAGAAAACGGCACAGGGACGAGGTGCTGGTGTAAAGCGAGGAAGAAGTCAAGACTCCGACGACGACTCCCCGGTTAAATTTGCCATTGCGTCTCTCAAAAGATCCAGTTCACCGAACTCGCAAGGGGAGGGGTTCACTTCCCGACCGCAAACGCGTGGCTCTCTGGGAAAGGACTTCCCCAGCGAAAAGAAACGCTCGTGGATAGATGTGGAAAAGGAGCTGGAACCGGACCTCGATCTGGTATAGTCTCTACAGGGTAAAGTTGGACTCATTCCTTTTGGTACCAAACAAGCTCTCTGTCGCAGCAGCGTGATCGAACCTGACACTTTTACCTCCTTTACTGTTTATTGGTGTCGACATGACATGCAAGCTTCACCACATGTGCCTGTTTAAAACAAAAAAGGGCCTAGAAAGGTACCTAATGCTGCTGCTGCTATTGTTGCTGTAGAGAAAAGTCGAATTCAAAGAGCATTACCTGACCTGCTGAATGTATGAAGTCTGTGCTTAAACTACCACAGGCAGCTTTCATCAGGCTGTTTTCTAAAATGAAATTGTCTGTAAATGTGATGTTTTTTTTGTTTGTTGTTTTTTTTAACCGCTTTACTGACTCGATTACGTTGTACTTGAACTTGTTTGTTGGCGTCATGCAGAAGAGAATCAAAACTGAATAAAGCCTTAGGAGGGGAAATCGTACCAAACCATGAACTGCTACAATGACTTCTCATTTTTTACACTTCAAAAAATAAAAGTCCTTTTTTTAGTTGCACTTTATATTTCTGGTAGAACTCAAGCAATAAGACATTTATTATTCAGCTCGTACAGAAACGCTACTGATCTCTACTGTGGGATGTTAGTGGTATTCCTTATTATGTATAAAGTTGATCTATAAGAAATAGTCTTTGTGAATATTTTGTTTCTTTTTGCTGTTTTTTTATGGAAGACTTTGGGTGTGATTTTTTTTTTTTTTTTTTTTTTGGAAACACTGGTTGTTAACCTGACTGAATAATAAAATATCTGATATCAAAAATGGGGGAAAACTATGCTTACTCTTTGTTTTTAATTTGACACTATCTTATAATATTTAGAACCCTGTTCAATTGGCAAGTTAATATTAAAAGAAATAACACTATCGTAAATAATTGGTAAACTTTTTTTTACTCATTACATTTATGCAATAGTTCAACTGTAAGTAAGACAGAAGGAAAACATAAAGGTGGTTGAACGTGGTTGTTTCTGTCACCTTTTGTTCTTTTTAAAATGGCGGCCAAAGCTTCAGGTTTACTTTTATCAAACTGGAACAGGAGTGAGTTTGAAAACCAATCAGTGAGATAGCATTTTATGCGGAAACATTGAAACAACCTCTGAATACATCCGCCAGGAAGTTCAAGCTTTCAAATAGACGATGAACCAAAGTAAACAACGTGTCTTGAGGACAACAGAATCCATTGTTCTGGCGTGATCAACACAAAGTCTCAAAAAATGCGCCGAGATTTTAAAAAAAAAGTGTATAAAGCTAAGCTAAAGTTAGCTAAGGTTCAAAGTAGCTAGGTCTTTGAACCCTACACCTGGTATGTCAGGAGGAATGGGCCAAAGTTGTAGAAAAGTACATTTGTAACACCATGAAGTCATATCATCAAGAGCCAAATATTAAATAAATTCAGAATTTAAATAACTTTGGTCAACCTCCTCACATGAAAGCTTTAATTGGATGCAAATATGCTAGCTACAAGCATTTTCTGTATGTTCAGATACTTTTACGCTCGAGTGCAGGTTACTCACAAAACCACATCGACCAGTTTAATCGTTTCACAATGAATAATGATAGCTTTTAAACTCTAATACCCTTTATGCTCACTCGGCTTATAGAGAACGGCACGTAGCCTTTGATTTCTGAAGGAAGTGCAAACATCGTGACCCAGAAAATATCTTTACTAATCCTGAAAGGTGGTCCAACATGCCAAGCATTAAAACTGGCCTAAATTCCTTTGATTGGGTCCAAACGTATTGAGTGGGTCATAACAATCGTTGTGCAACTATACAGGGAACTAATTTACTTTAGTCAATTAAGGACGGACTGATGTGTGAGAGATTAGAGAATCTTTTTCTGGCCAAAAAAAACAAAAAAACATCCGCCAATCAGCAGCAGAAGTGACCCCACTACCACCCTCTACTTCCCAATAACCCCGTTAAACCAACAGTAGGAATCACTGACGTAATCACGGGACCTGCAGTTTTGATTGAAGCTGTGATGTGATGCCTTACGGCTCTCCATTCAAAACGCAGCGCGGAAGAGAGAGACGCGGTTCGGGCAGAAGTGAGCGCTGTAGAGCAGCTTCGGAGATTTAGTGACCACACGTCCCTGCAGCAGCAGTAGAGCTGTCCGACTTTGTAAAGATCTACAGATTGTTGCTGGAGGAGGATCTGTCGCTTGGTGTTGCTTTTATTACCTGCGCAAGGACCCAGAGAGCCGCGCTCAAAATGCCCGGCGACGGCTTCGCCATCACAAGTCGCATCAGGAATTTACTGAGGTCGCCGTCAATCAAGAACAAGAAGAAATGCAAGGAAAGCCTCACCAGCAAGGTGAGAAGGACTACGGGGAGGAGGCAAAAAGTTGTGTAAAGTTGCAGATTTAGGGCACACACATTAATTGCATAGAATAAGTGTTCAAATCAAAGATATTTTCTTGTTACTGTAGTGTCAAAAGTGTGGCCCGAGGTCCCTTCATGGCCCCTGGAATGATTCTCTGCGCCCCCTTAACATGTGAGGTGCAAGACAAAGGATTTATAGTTTATTAATAGCGTTTTATTCATTTTATTAGTCTGTATATAGAAGCATAAACAATCGTTTTTTTGTTGTTGTTGTTTGTTTTTGTTTTTACTTTAAAAGCAAACTTTAGTGCTCCCATTCATTAAACCGAACCAAATTCAGAGTGTTTTATTACAGGATGAGTGACAAATATGCGTTTGTCATATTTATGGACAAACTAAAATATGGATGAGTATTTGTTGTTGTTGAGATACATTTTTTGTTAAAAAAAAGAAGAAACCTTTTAAACCAGAAGAGCAAATTATTAACTTACCACACCTCCAAACTCTCCAAAAACAAAAAAACAAATGAACAAAAATAAAATAAAATAAAAAAAATACAAAAGTTAGGAAAATGTAAGTTCTTTATAGATAAGCAAACATGTTTTAATTCTGAAACGATTTGGAGATCTTTTTTAATTAAATTTTATAAAGTTACATATTTAGTTCATTATTAAATAGGGAAAAATTAGAAGTTGACAAAGTATTTTTTTGTGTTTGGGAAAGAATTTTGTTTGTGCACCCCTACTGTACGTCCAGCAGTTAGTTTTAGATGTGTTTAAAGTCACATCTGAACCTGTGATTTGTTACTTAAAATGAATCATTTATCTCCAAGATACTGCTGTCAATTAAATTTAAATTTTATTGTTTTTTAAATCTGTAGCAAAGATTTCTTAAAAAAAAAAAAAAAAAAATTCTGTCTAGAGCGTAGTTCTATGAAAAAGTTAATTTATGTCAATCTTATGGCAGTCTGTTGCGTAAAAAGGTTTAAACTGAGCCGCCACATGACGGCTGTACAAAAACCATAATCAAACATCAGGATTATGAGATGTTTTTATGGGTTCCTGTTATTGTCCTGATTAGTTTGTTGAGTTTATTATGAATGCATGTGTGTTAGTAGGACGCCATAAACTCGTTGAGACAGAGCAGGTTTGGAGCCAGCCGACTCGTCCTCTACTGATAGAACGTCAACATCACACTTTTATACACGAAAGAAAAACTAAAATAATGTTTTCTCATTTAAAAAATCAAAAGAAAGTGTCACAATGGTGCTACCGTACCAAATTCAGCATTTGACTCAACCGTCTCTTGAGTCAGAGACGGTTCTTTACTGTTTCTAAAAGTGAAACATCAGAGAAGCTCAATGAAATTAAAAGTTGTTTAGACATCTGAAATGCTTTCTCGATTTCTGCTGACTTTGAAGAGGGTCTTTGTGTTTCGCTCAGCGTTTTTGCACATCAGTCCTGTCGCACTAACTCCCATCTGCACACGTGTTGTGACCTGCCTCCCTCCTCTTGTGTTTCATTCATTAACATAGATGCTTAGTTACATCACTGTTGGCTGGGCTCGCATCTGCCTGTCCACCAGCTGTTCTCAGAGATCTGTAGAACAGAAAAAAAAAAGGTCTCTGTTATGTGTCTCTACAGGTGACTTTGGAGAAGGTCCTGGGGATCACCGCTGCAGGAAACAGTGGCCTGACCTGCGATCCCAGATCTGGACTTGTGGCCTATCCAGCGGGGTAAAGACCCTTATCCCGACATCTGCTCTTTGTCTTATCAGCGGCGCACGCATGGCCTCTTATCATATCTGCCCCTTGCAGACGTTTAGTGTGCAAATTTCTGTGATCAAGCATCATCTGTCAACTATCTGAAGAGGAGGAGGAGGAAAAGGAGAGCCCGGTGGGCCTCCTCAATCAGAGAAAGTTCAAATCTTATTTGTGCCATCCTCAGGGAGGCTTTTTATATCCGTCTATGATCTACAAAAGGCTCAGATTCTGGCAAGCTGGAAGGGCTTAGCTTTAGCTGATGTAAAATTGAGCCATTTAAGCATGGTTTCTGATAATTGCTTCACATCTGCGCTGCACAAAGTCAACCAACCTGTTTAAAAAAAAACTATTTTTTTTTCCTTAAAAACAAACTACATATTATTCAATTGTGTAACTTTTTGTCAGTTTGAGAAGTCTACGTGTTTCCAGATATTTGTACATGACCCACAGTGTCTGTCAAATTAAGCACAAATTTCCTAAATTGAGCCCCAATCTGGCATTCCACCTGCTGTCCCAGTTTAAAGCCGTACAAGCTGCGGTACCAGGAATGTAGTTTCCTGGCACGCATCTCAAGAACTTGCTGTTCTGCAACAGGAGGAGCGCTAATCTGCGAGCTGCCAATGAACAAAGTGCAGAGAGAGGAAGTGCTTCTCACAGGAGGCATTGTTTCTGTCTGAGCGATTTGAATATGGAAGAGAGCATTTATGAGGGTATGAAAATTACTGATAGATTAGGCTACATTGTTTAGCTACTTAGCGTGGTTTCAGTTCAATAGGCTTGATTTTACATAGCCTAAAAAAAAATCTATATACATGACTGATCTCAGAGGGAAATTTACTAAGAGGTTCTTATTTGATTAGTAACATAAATTTTTTGTTAGCTATTATATTAGCAGGCTCTCTCAAGAACTAGAAAGGTAACTTTGCTTTCCATCTACAGGTGAAATATGTTATGTATTGTTGTCTACAGATAGCTGAGCAGCATCTTTATGTTGATAAAATGGACCAAAACATGGCTGTTTGTGGCTAATAAAGACCTCTTGTCCTTTCGTTTCTACTTTCCAGCCTGAAGCTTTTTTGAAGCTGTGTAGCCTAGCATAGCGTTGTACTAGAAAAAGTCACCACTTATGCTTCAACATAAGTGGTGATTTAAGACACTTTGTCTGGCTTTGCTTAAAACTAACAGATTCCAACATCGCTTCACAACTTTGAGACACAGTAATTACGTGAATTCAGTGACAATAGTGAATTTTACTGTCTGAACAGAACGACCTGCAATTATCTAACGGTTGTAGCTTATAGTTAGCATCCAAGAGATTTTTATGCTCAACACCTGGTGGGAAATTATCAAG